CCAGCTTTCTTTAGTTTAGTGTTTCCACAGTATATCTTTTTCATCTTTTTACAATTCCCCTCCCAGTACAATTAATACCCTGTGTCCAACAGTTACAGGCAGATTACCTTGATCCTTCACTCCTGGAAATATTTAGGGATTTTCCAGATATATATTATTAATTTCTAACTGAATGCTCTTAAGAGTCAAAGAAGATATTCTGTGTCTCCTCCAATTATTAGGGGGTGGAGAACCACCCTCATTAGTTGTTATGCTGTTAATATTTACATTTCTTTTTTTAAATATGTTTTAATTATTATTATTATTTTAGAAAGAGAGGAAGGGAGAGGGATAGAGATAGAAACACCAATCTGCTGCTTTCTGCACACACCACACTGAGGGATTAAGCCTGCAACCTGGGAATCCAACCTTGACCTCCTGGTTCATGGATCGACATTCAACCACTGAGCCATGCAGGCTGGGATCTTACACTGACAGAAGTTCATCCATTTTATAGCAGTACTTATTCCTTTTTATGGCTGAATGATATTTCATCATATGTATATATCACAATTTTTTAATCCATTCTTCTATTAATAGTCTTTTGGTCTGTGACCATTCTTTTGTGAATAATGTCTCCACAAATGTGTGGATACCAATTTTCTATTCTTTGAGGTATATATCTAGTAGATGTGTGTATACCAATTTTCTATTCTTTGAGGTATATATCTAGTAGATGAATTAATGGTAATTCTATAAGATAACTCTATTTTATATGGTAGCTCTATGCTTTTGAGGAACCACAAAATGGTTATCCACAGTAGCTGACCTTTTTATATTTCTACTAACTTTGTACAAGGGTTCCAATTACTCCATCAATATGCCAACATTTATTTTTCTGTTTAGCTTTTTTTATTAGAGCCATCTTAGTGAATGTGAACAGGCACCTCATGTGGTTTTATATGCATTTCCCTAAAGACGAAACATGTTGAGTGCCTTTATATGTTCTTGTCCATTGTAAATCTTCTTTGAGAATAGGTATATTCAAGTTTTTTGCTCATTTTAAAATTGGGTTGTTTGTCTTTTCGTTGAGTTTTAAGTTCTTTATATATTCTGCATGTAAATCCGCATCAAATACATGTTTTGCAAATATTTTCTACCATTCTGTAGCCTGCCTTTTTATTTTCTGGATAATGTCCTTAACATCACCTAAAATTTTATTTATTTAATATATTTCTCCTCAACTAAAACATACACTTCATGTAATATCAGACCTTCTTTTTCTTGTTTACTATTACACTATCAGAAGTAGATAATACTTTGTACATTATTTTTCCAGTGAATAACTGTATACATGGCTCTATTATCAAATTGTCACATCAGAGTCATATAGAATTGAGCAAAATACAAAGTGTTTACACAAACTAAACCTGATATATTGACAATAAATACAGAATAGTCAGATTGTTTTCTTTCTCATGACTATGTATTTTGGCTGCTACTTATATTTGTAGAAAAGGGGAAGGAGAAGCGTTATATAAAGATCTGGGTCCAAAAAGTAACACTTCAGTGTCCATTTACTATGGTCTTGGCATGGAAAGAATTTTAACTAAAAAAAAAAAAAAAAAAAAAAAAAAGATTTGGGAAACAGCTTCCAGGCAGGCACGTGATCATGATAGTAAACAACCAACTTAGATATTGTGCTCTGAGCACATTTAAGATAGGCTAGGCTATGACGTGCATTAGGTTAGATGTATTAAATGCATTTTTGACTTAACAATATTTTCAACTTATGGCTTTACGGGACATAATTACATTATAAGTAGAAGAGCATCTATATTGCCAGTCGAAGGTGGTGGTGGTGATTATATTGGTAATTCAATACTTACTGCTAGAATACAGATTTAAATCCTTATTCTGAGTTCTGAGGAATTCATAGTTATTCATAAATTCATAAAGTCAAAAACCTTTAGCAATAGATGTTCACTTTGTATTAGTATTACGCTCACTATCTGCTAAGCAACTACTCTATTTGTCAAAATTCAAATGAATAAGATTTTGTGTTCTTGCATCTTAAGTACATTCTGCTTTCTGGAGCAATATCAAGCAAAGGCTAAATAATCCTATATAATAAAGAGCTAATATGCTAATTAGACCGAACAGTCAAACGATTGTTGGATGACTTTTGGATGAAGCCGGGGCTGCAAGGGGTTACGAGACCAGCTCCAAGGGGCTGTGAGGGCTGGCTGAGACAGCCAGGCTGCAAGGGCCGAGCCACATGCACAAATTTCATGCATCAAGCCTCTAGTTCTATATAATAAAACCCTAATATGCTAAGTGTACGATTGTCCAGTTGGCCATTCAACCAATCAAAATGTAATATGCTAATGATATGCTAAGGCTGCTCAATGACTTGCCATGACATGCACTGACCACCTAGGGGCAGAAATTCCGACCTGCAGGTTAGCTTGCTGCTAGGGTCTGGCCAATCTGGACTGAATGAGATAAACCAAACACACCCTAGGTTCCCCGGCTGGCCAACCTCCCACGTCTCTCTCTGGCTCCAATCGTGCACCGGTGGGGTCCCTTAGCCAGGCCTGGGTGCTCTCGCAATCTGGAACTCCTTATGGGTTGTCCGAGAGCTGGTTTCAGCTCGATAGCAGAACGACCAATCACTATGACGCACACTGACCACCATGGGGCAGATGCTCCATGCAGGAGCTGACCCCTGGAGGTCACTGCACTCCCACAGGGGAAGCAACGCTTAGCCAGAAGTCGGGCTCACAGCTGGCAAGTGCAGCGGTAGTGGCAGGAGCTCTCCTGCCTCCGTGGCAGTGCTAAGGATGTCTGACTACTGGATATCCCCCGAGGGCTCCTGGACAAGGGACACCCTCCACCCCCGAGTGCACAAATTTCATGCACTGGGCTTCTAGTTTTACATAAGATTACCTCTCAAATACTTGAAAATGACTATACCTATGGTGTTCTTATAAAATCTTCTTTAGTATAATCTAGCTATATCCTGGGTTTCCACAGTCTTTCCTATACTTCTAGAATATAATCTGCAAACATTTCACATGAGTTCTGGTATTCAAACTAAATACAATACTACAAATGTTCTACTACTTAGAACTGAACTGGATCACTATTCTTCTAGGAAGACCATACTTGCAATTTAGTGGGTTCGGGAGGGAAGGGCAGCCATATTACATTATTGGCTAAGTATTGATTTTGGTCAAAATTTCTAGGTATATGATATAGCTTTGAATTTTAACCTTAAAGGCAAAGTTACAGATTGATTTCTATGAAATAATCTTTTATTTCAGTTTCTTATTCTGAATAGATAATTTAAATATGTTGGAATCCTGATTCACTATCAACATATTAGTGGCATTTCTGAAATATTCCATCCTATACAATTCCGAAACATACTTTACATTATTGTAAATAAAATAAAATCAGAAATTTAACCAAAGCTCTGTAACTTTCACATATTTTGTGCATCTCTGCTTTATTTTATCTGTTTTAAAATTTATTCCAAAGAAGAATATCTGCTTAGTGAACAAACAAATGGAAATAAAATTGAAGTGGAGATCTGCTTTCTCCTGGTTATATCTTAGGCCTATATTTTGTGTCTATCTTGTCCTTGAAAAAAAGCACAAATATTATTTTTGTTACACGTAATTTTCAAAAGCTTCAGTTTATTTTTGGCTAATTTTATTTGCCCACTTAACTTTTTCATTATGAACCAACATTCTATATTTTTTATACATATCTACCCAGAGGTTTCAGTATTTGAAAAACAATGCAAAAAAACTAGTAATTCATAATTCTAATGTACATGACTATAACTTATGTTAAATGTAAATATATACTCATCTATCCTTATAACAAAATCACATTGTACTGATAACTCAGTTCAGCTTAACTCCTAAAATTTCTCTCAATTTTGCTTTTTCTATTTTTATGCTTTTATATTATTGACATTTCATACAAAGACAGATCAAAATATTTTAGTTCTATCTTTTGAGTATTCTTTACCACTCCCTTATTCATTTTTTAACCATCTTCAGTAATATTAACAGACGATAATTAATTGATGTTGGTTTTTTCAACTGTCAATTTTTTTCAGTTTTCTGATTTTTATACCCATATGTTTCTTAATTTTACTGAATAAAAGTAATGTCCACTTTGAAGTAATTATGTTTTTTGCTTCCCAATCTGTAAAGAACTTCAGGTTTAATAAAAACCTTTCTCTGCCTACTCTGTCACTATCTAACTCCTACTTGAAAACAGAAAAGTGAAACAAGAAATATCTTTTTCTAAGGTTAACAGCTGACTTTTCTTTTAAACTCTTGTATTCCTGATTAAGATCACTCTAGTCTAAATTTTCCAATGGAAAATTATGTCTAAGTGTCAAAAGACATGATAATTGTACAATCAGTGGCTGTTCAGTACTCTAAGTTAATATTTTTGTAAGTTCGTTCTTTTTCATTTTAACAACTTCTCAACTTTGGAAAAAATGTAAGCATATACCTTAACCCATAACTTAATGTCTTGGTATAAGAAGGTAAGACTATAGTATTTCATAAGACATTATGATCACCACATTATCAAAGCTTTAAATGAGATAATTACACGTATTCTACATTGGATAGTATTTCATCCGCACTTTTAACAAAAACTAGCTGAAGTTATGATTTTAAAATTACCCATGGCGAAATACCTATTATGAAACAGATTTATAAAACTTGAAAAAAGATCTGACATACATCACTTATTTTCTATGACTGAAAACATAAAGGAAATAGTACCTATTACTAACAAAACTGTAGATAGAAAAAAAAATGTTAGAACGAAAGAACTAGGCCACAATAAGACACTATTAAAGACATAAAACTGACTCAAAATTTAATTGAAATAGAAAATTATTATAACAAGAACATAGAAGCTGTGCTTTTAAAAAGAATTTAAAGGAAAGGAAATAAGAAGGTGAGAAAAAGTACCACTGGACTCCTTACCCATTGCGGCTGGTGCTGGAGCTTCCTGATGGTATTTTCAGCCTGCTCCAGCTTAGCACTGGCCTCATCACTCTGCTGTTTGATGGTGGCCAGTTCCCGTTTTATGAGGTAGTTTTCCTCAGCCTCCTGGGCTCTTGTCACTTGTCCCTTAGGACATAATTTTTGTGTGTATAAAGCAATTTAGGATAGAGTCAAGAAAGACTGTCTTCGTGAGGTTTAGTTATTTACTTTGACATATTTTTTTAAAATCACCTCAGAGAACAGAATAGCCTAAGCAATTGTTAGCCAGCAGCTCATTATTGCTCCAGCAAATTTGGGGGAACTAAATGAAAAATTCATCTGACAATCTTAAGAACAATTCTTGTTTCAGTCACTAAAAGTTCAATTCATGCAATATTATTGAATTGTACATGCAGGACTAAATGTCAATGAACAAGTAGTTAATTTCACAGAATCCACTGATTGCCATTTTGTAATACTTTAAAATAAGGTTAGCTTTAAAACGTGCAAAAGGTGCTTATTTTAATAAACCAAGATAACACCCTGTTATCAAGAATAAGATTACACCCATATATACCACCTAAAATATTATTTGGGGGAAGGGGGAATGCATGTAAAATTGCATGCATTAAAATACAAATTTCTACATTTAAGACTTTCCTTAGAAGTTAGAGAAAATGCTAAAAAAGACAAAATAAAAAACTATACCTGTATCAATCTATCTGCCAAGGAAGCACTTTCCTACAAAAGGAAAAATTCAGATAGAAATGTAAGAGAAAGAAATAAAATAAAGGTGATAAAATTAGGAATAAGAAGAAACAAAGCATACCCAAATTCCACCTACTTTTCATGTAATTAAAATAAACATAAAGATTTTAAAGCTATTTTTACTGAATGTGCTTTTATTCTTAAATTTTAAAAAATATATTAAAGAATAGGCTGCAGAAAGTCATGTACTAGAAGAGACTACACACAAATTCCAAGAGGTTTTTCATTATTTGAAAAAAGTAAATATCTTCCCTTTAAAGCATACTTTTAAATCTTTATTTTTTTGAGTCAGTCACATTGTCAAACCACTTATATGAAAGGGAGAAGGAATTTGAGTAAGTAATTCCACTTACAAAGTGTGACAGCAGTTTGTGCAACCCAACTTCCAAAGATGCAAAGCAAGAAAAATATCACAAATGAAATAAATGAGCTCAAGGTAATACACCCTAGCAATAACTGATTAAACTTTTTGGTTGCAGAGTTTGACACATATGTATTTGTAGAATTCTAAGTGGACACACATAGGCCATCTAAGTCAATAAAAAAGGTAGGTACTTAGTTTTTAGAATCAAAATCCAAGCTTAACTCTTTCTAACAGCACCTTTATCATTGTGAAAGTTCAATAAAATAGAAATGCTTTCTCTGTGGAAATATCTCACTCCAAAGATAAAAGACCACTAGATGATATATTTTACTATAATCTGAGTATTTATTGAAAAACATATACAATTATTAAAAACAAAAACTAAGCTCAATCTTTTTACAGAATCACCAAAAAAGTAGAATTGTCATCAAAGCAACTCTAATAAGATGAAGAAAAAATAGGAAACCTACTTTTGACTTAATATAGTGAACCTGCAATTATCATACATCAAAAATAGGCATGTAATTAGCATCCTGGTCCTTGTGCAGCACTATTTAATATAAAACCATTAATACTTTCAAACAAAAGACACTTTTTTATTTATTGCTTTTTGAACATTGATCCACAGATTATCAGGGAAGATTTAAAGATAATTGGCAATATCATAAAGAGTACTTTTAAGTTTACTTTCTTTCTCCTTTAATCAAACACAAAACCCCCAAAATACCAAAGACTTTATAAATTCAGATGTTTTTCTTAAAAGATGGTTTTCTTAAAAACCCAAACTCATACGCTATAGTTTTATTATTCAATACATTCTTATAGCATCAGAAGCAAGACTATAAAAGACATTATATCAAAAGCATAATATAAGAAAGAATGCAATGTGTCCACATTTGTCCAGTTATTTTACAGGAAACAAAGAGGAATAGGTAACAAGTAGTATCAAAATAATTTTAAGAACCAGAAGTTTAAGCACAATTCCCCAATGTTAAAAATCATGGTGAATTTTTAAATAAGAAATCAGTCAGTCAGTTTACTAAACCTAGAGCAATCCTAGCTAGACCTTACATGAGTCATCACCACATTTAATATATGGCTAGAAAGTCAGGGTAAGATTTGAAAATACTATAAATAACAGATTTTAAATTAAGTTACCTCAAAATAATATACATTTTAGAGATTATATGTAAAGAAAACAAATGTTACTATATCTTACTTAAAACTTTAAAGTTTAAGAGCTAGTAGTAATCAATTTTTACTAATGACAAGTTAGTTAAGTAAGTAGTAAGCTAGGCAAGCTAAGCAGTTAATAACACAACTTTGGAGACATATAAGCTAGATTTCTTTATATAAAATAGAGGAGAAAACTGTATATTTAACAGAAGCTTACATAAGTAGTCATTTACTTACTTTTTCTAATGTTTCAATGCGTTGTTTTAAAAGCCTATTTTCTGTACGTAACCTCTGGAAAATAAAGAAAGAAAAATACAAACAAACAAACAAAAAATTGTTTGGTTGCAAGCATTCCTGAGGGGAAAACGTATCTAAATCATAATCCTTTAAAATATATCACATTTTATAAATTAGAAAAGAATCTAAGGAATGATTATATTATTATCTGTCAAATTCTTAAAGACTCAAAGTAAGAAATACATAGCAAATGACCACCTTTATCATTTCAAATGTGGTTAAATTTTAAATATATTCTACAGTACATACAGAAATAAGCAATTTCTTTTCTGTACCTGTCATAATGACTCTTAACCAATACTGTATTTTCTTATGTCTTAACATATGCATTAGATACAAATGATTCTAACTCATTTATCTCCTACAATGCCTATCTACATGAACAATATTCAAATGTCTATCAAACTTTTAAAAAATAAGAAATATGCAAATGCATGCTCATAGAATAAGTATTAAACTGTTTGTTTTTAACTAGACCAGTTTCAACTTATAATGCATATATAAGTCAAGTTGTAGAATTCCTTACATTCTGAAAAGATGAGATGTTTTCCATCATGAGGTGCTTTAAATGTAAGAGCATTAAAAGCTTGAATTATTAGCACCTTTCTCATAGTTCAAAAAGTAAAACCAGATTTTTAAAAATTTCACCTAATTGTTCAATGCCTTACTCCCCACCCTGTCAAGTTACTGCCATAAAGTATTAAATCTAAAACACTCTGTGTTTAAAAAAAAAAAAATCTTTTTGCACATATCAACCAATATAATTTCATACTAATCCCCTATATAAATTATCCCTTCATTTTAGAATCCACTGTTCTCTCTCCATTTTGTCATCACTCTAATCTCAAAACTCCTCTTACCTTTTTGTATCAATTTACTCCACAACTCAATCCAGCCATCTTCCAACCCTGCTCTTCCTCTAAATTCCTGCTAAAAAATGTCTTCCTCAGAAATTTCTTCTGTCAATTCAATCTAATATTTTGTCAGTAAATACAAAAATTTAACATCAAGTCTCAGATCAAGAAAAAATATTTTCTATGAATTATTGTATCTTATAGACTACAAGTTAGAACGAATAAATCTTAACCTAAAAAATATAACCTTCTAAAATGGAATAAGAATAATCAGAAAACCTGAATAGGCCAATAACAATTGATTAAATTGAAACAGTAATAAAAAAAATAATAATAATAATAAATAAATAAATAAATAAAACACAGAGCAAACAAAGCCCTGGTCCAGAGAGCTTCACAGAAGAGTTTTACCAAACATTCAATGAAGAACTAACACCTATCTTCCTCAGACTATTCTAAAAAATCCAAGAGGAAGGAACATTTATTTCCAAGCTCTTTTTATGAGGCCAGAAATATCCTAATTCCAAAACCAGATAAAGAGACTAAGAAGAAAGAGAATTACAGGACAATATCCCTGATGAACATAGATATTAAAATGCTCAACAAAATATTAGCAAACCAGATCCTACAATATACTGAAAAGATCATACACCATAAGACCAACTGGGATTTATTCCAGGAATGCCAGTTGGTACAATATTTGCAAATCAAAAAACATTGATACATCACATAAACAAATTAAAAGATAAAAATTACATTATCATATCAATTTACATAAAAAAAGCATTGAACAAAATCTAACATCCATTTTTTATAAAAACTCTCAGCAAACTGGGAATAGAAGGAGCATAACTCAACATAATAAAGGCCATATTTGACAAACCTACAGCCAACATAATATTCAATGGGCAAAAACTAAAACCATTTCTGCTAAAAATAGGAACAAGACAGGGATGTCCACTTTCACAACACTTAATTCAACATAGTACTGAAAGTCCTAACCATAGCAACCAGACAAGAAGAAATAAAAAGCATACAAATCGGAATGGAGGAAGTAAAACTCATTATTCAGATATGGCATGATATTGTACAAAAAAAATACTAAAGACGTCACCAAAAACTACTAAATTTAATAAAAGAATTTGGCAAGCAGATGGATACAAAATTAACACCTACAAATCTATGGCATTTTTATATACCAACAATGAATTATCAGAAAGAGAAACAAACAATCCCATTTAACATAGCAACAGAAAAAATTAAGATACCTAGGAATAATCTTAACCAAGGAGGCAAAACACTTGTACTTGGAAAACTGCATGACACTGAAAAAAGAGACAGAGAAAGATATAAACAAGTGGAAGAATATACTCTGTTCATGAGTTAGTAGAATTAACACCATTAAAATGTCCATATTACCCAAAGCAATCTATAGATTCAATGCAATCCCTATTAAATTACCAACAGCATTTCACAGATCTAGAACACATACTCCAAAAACTTATATGGAACCAAAAAAGACCCCAAATAGCCACAGCAATCTTGAAAAGGAACAAAGTTGGAGGGATCACAATACCAGATATCGAGTCATACTACAAACCCACTGCAATCAAAACAGCCTGGTACCGGCACAAGAACAGCATATAGATCAATGGAACAGAAATCCCAGAAATCAATCTAAGCCATTATGCTTAATTAATATTTGACAAAGAAGGTAAGAATATACAATGTAGTAAAGACAGTCTCTTCAATAAACGGTTCAGGGACATGCAAAAAAATGAAAGTAGGCCACCAACTCACACCATACACAAGAATAAACTCAAAATGGGCAAAAGACTCAAAAGTAAGTCATGAAACCATAAAAATTCTAGAAGAAACTACAGGCAGCAAAATCTCAAGACATCTCTCATAGCAACATGTTTTGGGTACATCTCCTAGGGAAAGGAAACTTAGGAGAAAATAAACAAATGGGACTACATGAAAATGAAAAACTTCTGCACAGCAGAAGAAACCATCAACAAAATAAAAAGGGAACCCACCTCACTGTATGGGAGAACATATTTGGCAATGATACATCTGATAAAGGGTTAATATATCATACAAAATATATAAGGAACTCATACAACTTAACAAAGGAAGACAATCCAATTTAAAAAATGGGCAAAGGACCTATATAGACACTTCACAGAAGAGGAGATATATGAAAATATATGGAAAAAGTGCTCAAAGTCACTGATCATCAGAAGGTGTGATTTCAGACTACAAAATAGCATGGCAGGTCTACACAAGTAAGCAATAAGTAAATGCTGTTAAAGTCTGGGAGGTCAAAACAACAAATGTGATTCTCAAAATGTTCATCAACATAAAATTATAACATTTTGTTTATCCTTAAAGGTTTAGAAGTTCAACCAGACAGTTGAGTGAATAAAATTAATGTTACAATAATGTTAAAATAATAAAATTTTTAAAAACATTCATCTGGCCGAAACTGGTTTGGGCTCAGTGGATAGAGCATCGGCCTGCAGACTGAAAGGTCCAGGGTTGATATCGGTCAAAGGCATGTATTATACCTGGGTTGCGGGCACATCCCCAATAGGAGGTGTGCAGGAGGCAGCTGATCGGTGATTCTCTCTCATCGATGTTTCTAACCCTCTATCTCTCTCCTTTCCTCTCTGTAAAAAATCAATAAAATATATTATAAAAAAAAATTCATCTGGATTTCCTCTCCCATCCCCTTTAAATCTTCTGAAATTCTGCTATTAATAAAAATATAATATTTTCCACCAAAGATCTACTGAAATGTCTTAATACCACTTTTTAAGTAAATCACCAATTCCTCATTTGTGTGATATCCACTTCAACATGAACTGATAACTATATAGATTTTATCAATTAGTAAAGACTACTTCAGGATTACCTATTACATTTCGGGAGTTTGTCTTTTTTGGATTAGTTACCACAGTATTTTGGTCCCCCAAACCTCAAGTGTTAGTAAAGAGACTAGGTTCTAAAGTTAGGCAGAGTTAGATTCAAATTCTTACTCTACAATTAACACCTGTGCATGCCATTTATTGTCTTAAGTCTCTCCATTTCCTCATGTAGAAAATTAAAGAGTAATAACCCCTACAATACTAGAAGAATTACCTAATGAAATACCTAATGTTGGCAATGTATTAGTGAAATGGAAAACTCACTGCTAAGAAGGAAATATTCTGGAAATACTTTTGAGCAAATTCACGTAGTGCAAATCAAACATCTTAAAAATATTAACATCCTATAATTCTACTATTTACAACTGGCTAGGGAAATTCAAGGTACCAAGAAAACTTTATAGACAAGATTCTAACTATAAGCATACTAGAGGCCCAGTGCATAAAATTTGTGCTGGGGGGCAGGAGGGGGTGTCCCTCAGCCCAGCCTGCACCCTCTCTAACCTGGGACACTTCAAGGGATGTTGACTGCCCATTTAGGGGGCCTGATCCCACTGGCAGTTGGACATCCCTCTCACAATCCAGGACTGCTGGCTCCCAACTACTCACCTGCCAGCCAGCCAGATCAACACCTAACTGCTCCCCTGCCAGCCTGATTGCCCCTAATTGTCCTCCCCTCAGAACTGGTCGCCCCCAACTGCCCTCCCCTGAAGGCCCGGACATCCCTAATTTCCCTCCCTCACCAGCCTGGAAGCCGCTAACTACTCTCCCCTGTGGGCCATCTTGTGTCCACATGGGAGTGGCCATCTTGTATGTTCCAGTGATGGCCAATTTGCATATTACCTCTTTATTATATAGGATATAAGTAATAAAAAAAAAAAAGCGAGAAACATCCCAAAATAGGAAAACCTTGGTTTCAAAGAACGTACTCTTCAATCATCATCTATTCTTTCCAACATACTTATTTCATGACATAACCCAAGTGCAACAATCATCCTTCTCATAAGAATAATCCCGTGATCCCATCAACTTTTCATCATTTCTCACTCACAGATGTCCTCTCTTCCCTCTATCCAAAGTTTAATTTCCAATCATTGTAGACTTTCCCTTGCTTTTATCTTCCCTTCCCTATCTCTTTCTCCGTAGTTAATATACTTGTCTGATGAAATCACTACTCTGGGTCAACATACTGACAACTCTGTGTCTGCAT